ATTTTCATATAGGTATATTTGGCAGAATAAGCAGTTCCTCACTAAACCAGATGATGGCAGCAGTGACTATTTACAGGCTCAGCATTGGACTTAAAAATCTGGAGGAATTTTACAGAAACAAGAATAGGAAATATTGGTGTGTTAGCAGGATCAACTTAAAACCTATGTGCAAATTTAATGGATGTTTTTTTTTTTTTATCAGAGCTGTGCCTCAAGCAAGGGAACAATTCATTTCAATTTGGTAATGTTTGATAGTCACTATTTAAAATTTCCTTCTTGGCGGATGGTTGCGCTCATTGAGTGCCTATCTAGCATATGTATATACGATATTATTATTGTATATATAGTGTATATATGAAACAGAGGACACATCCAGTTTTTTTTTTGTTTGTTTTGTGTTATTTCAATTTTTGGTCTGAATTTTGTGTTTTCTTTAATGGGAGGGTATGTAATGTTTTAGGGACAACTGTATACAGTATTATGTTGTACAAAAATAAATGCTAACCTCTGTTGATGCAATAAGCTGCTTTTAATGCTACATTTATAATTATTCAATTTAAGTTTATTTGCATAGCACCAATTCACAACACATGTCATCTCAAGGCACTTTACAGTTCACCAGATCATACAGTCAAATTGATTCAAAGTTTTCTATTTAAGGAAAACCAGTTGATTGTGTCGACTCATTGACTCGAAGGCAATCCCTCACACTAAGCATGCTTGTAGTGACAGTGGAGAGGTAAAACTTAATTTTAACAGGAACAAACCTCCAGCAGAACCAGCCGAGGCTGACTTGGGTTCAAGAACACAGAAGCAGAGATACAAAAAGCAGCTGTATAACGCGGCCCTGTCCAGGAAACAGACAGCCAGACACACAAGCTACGAGCCAACTCCCATGTCAAAGGATGAAGAGAGCGCATCCAGCCAGTCACAGTCAGCAAAACAGGACTACACTGGAAAAACAAGCAGATCTCCAACATCTGTAAACAAAGGTGTTGATGGCAGCAGCACAGCGGATATTTCTCTCCAGGATGGTGTCACAGCCAAACAGGAAAAGGCGAGGCAAAGCTACTATGAGAAAAAGCAGAGAGAGCATAACGTTAGAGATTGAACTAATAGATTCTGCAGAGTGGGAGAATAGAGATAATTATAATGTCTGATGCCTAAAATAAAAATGCTTTAGTGTGTAATAATTTGAATGTTTTGTTTTTTTGGAAGTAACAAGTGCAATTGATTTCGAATTTTATAATTCTAATATCTTTCAAACTTGTTTTTTAATCTTCCCAAAGCACTTA